CAAAGTTAACAGACTTGAACGTGAGTTGTTTTGTGTGTGTGTGTGTGTGTGTGTGTGTGTGTGTGTGTGTGTGTGTGTGTGTGTGTGTGTGTGTGTTTAAGATGTGGTTAGGAAAAAGTTGACATGCATGGATATTGTCAGACAACAGTTTTTAATGTAAAGACACTTTTATTTTGGAATACCAGGGGACCCAAGAATGCATTATGTCAACAAGGGTTCTTACAAAGACATATGCACCAACGTGTGTGTGTGTGTGTGTGTGTGTGTGTGACACCTGTAGATGCTGACTGAGCAGCTGCTTAACTGGCAGCACAATCTGACTCAGGGCTTTACAAACACACACAAACACACACACACACACACACACACTGAGCTTTAATCAAATCAAAGCTTTATTGAAGCTCATTTGTTTCTCCACTGCAGCTTGTCATGATAACAAGCCTGAAGTCCTGACAGAGGCTGACATTTGGCCCCGCCTACCTGGTATGAAAACACTGGAGCGATCAGTCTCACAGTCACTGGCAGAGGCAAGTGATTGATGTAAGTTTGCAGTTCACAAAAAGACTTAATTGTAAAAATCAGGGTCAAAGGAGGGGCTATGCGCTTACCTGCTGCTCTCTGGCAGGTAGCTCCATGCCCTCCTGGGTTTTAAATGCACCTTAGAACACACATGCATCAACACTACATATGAGCGGGCGGAGGGAGGTTTGGAGTCTTCTCTCACCCCCGTTCTCTGTTGCCTGGTGGGGCAGAGAGGCTGAGAGGAGGAGTTGGCCGTCCAATTGGGGTCTGGAATGTGGGGCCTCCCTGCTGCTGCGGAGTCGGGGCGGTCTTCTTCACTCCACCCGAGGGAAGAGGGTAACACTACCTGGGTCTGGGTGCAGTTTCCCCCTCCAGGAGCAAGGGTACCTAGACCTGGGGCTTAGAGTACACTTGGGGAGTGTGATCGTGTGTACAGCGTCTCTTTATGTCTGTCTCCACGTTGGTTGAGTGTTGAATAATTGCATATGAGAGCATGAGGGTGGGAATGGATGTTTGTATCTGTGTGTGCCTGTATGTCTGTGTCTATATGTCAGGTCGGGTATCAGACGCCACCTCTCTGGGGACATCTCAGGCCCTCCAAGGTATGGAGGCATATCTCCACCCACCACTTCCCCTACCAGTGGCAGACGCCCTCAGACATCGGTGCGTTGTGGTTCTTTGTGTCCGGGGATGGGCGTTCAGGTACACACCGGCTCACTCCTTGGTGGCTGCTTATTGGAGCCTGGAGCCTGGGGCTCGCTCGGGCCCATTCGGAGGTGGGGTGCCCTCGGCCTCTTGGCCTGGGGCTCGGTCACTCTGGCACAGCTGGCTGCCGGCGGAGCTCACGGGCACTGCAACCCCCCCTGGCTTCTGCTCCGTGGCTGCTGAGTGACCCCTCATCTGGGACTCTCCTCAGCTCTTTCTGGGATAGTGGCGCGGCTGCCCCTCTGTTGGTCTTCCTTGGTCTCTTGTGCTCTGAGGGCCTCTGGATGTCTGGAGTCTTGATCTCCTCCATACCTGCTTCATGCCCAGGAGGACGGGGCTGTGGCCCCCCCACACCCCCTAGCAGATCATTACATGAAGGAACCTTTTAAATACAAGCGCGTCCATGCTCACAGGTGTACACACGGGTGCTCACACACACAAACTACACCCTTTTTGGCTCCCACCTCAAAGCACATGTCGATCCTACATGATGCACAATAATATTCAATATTTAGTATTTACTGTTATATTCCCATAGATCATCGCGATCTATGGGAAGCAGGTTTACAAAGTTAAATTTAATCCTCTCAGGCTCAAATTAAAGTTTTTGTTGCTAATGCACAACCAAGTCCTGCAGTGGTACTTCTGAGTAAAAAAAACCCTCATAAAATATGTATGTGGGGTAATCAGGTTGTTAGTTTTTAACTGTTGCAAATCGGCAACGCCTGCCTTGAGAGGGTTAAGAGATTTAAGACTTTTTTGACCCCATATACCGTCATGGCCTAAGATTTTGGCAGTGGCACAATTGTATGGCCTTCTGCTTGTCCACCCACTACAAAAAAAAACTCTTAAAAAAAGCAACTGAAACAAATATTAGATATAATAATAATCTTGTTACTGAGTGTAGATTTATGGGGACAAAAGTAGTGAGTTTTATTTATCTGTCAACAAGTACAGAGTATTTCTTTTAAAGCAAGTATTTCCTGTTTTCATATAAAAAAATCTGTCCACATGACAGTGGAAAAGCAAATGAGATTATCAGGGATTAACAGATGGGATTATGACCCTAACCCTCACCGTGTACAACGTCTATAAAGGTCAAAACACAGAAAAAGTTACGTTTCCAAAATTAGAAGTGTATGTATCAGCAGGACCTAAAATGAACTCCAAGAATAAATAAAATAAATATGAATAAAGTGTTGAACTGCAATCACTGCATGCACAGTTTGTCCAGACTTGAAATAATCAGGATACATTTCTGAAAATTAAAACCCGGTATGGGATGAAATGTCTTTCATTCATGAAAATAATCCATATCTATGCAAAGTTTATAGAGTAATTTCAAATACATTAAGTCTGGAACTTAACACTGCATTTACAGAACTTTATCTCTCTCTGTCTATATCTATATATCTATATATAACATTAAATATATATTCTCAGTCTGATGTTTCCTTTGCATGTACACAGGGGGATGCAGTCATGCATAATGCAAAAGGTTAAAAGCTATTTCATCATTGCAGAATTGAATCCATCTTTCACTTAGTGTCATTTGGTCATGCGAGCCATCTTCAATATTTAATCTAAAGTAAGTTCAAGATGCAGCAGCACAACATGCTTTCACCCAAATAGATGAGGAAAGAAATTGTGTAGGACATTAGTGATAGTCCAGATCTGTGAATAGTTTTTCATCTTTACTTGTCAAAATAAAAGGACCGTTTACTTTTATGACTGCCTTTTTTTCTGCGTTCCTACCATTGCTTTCGGAGATCAGTTGAAGTGTGTTACTTCTCTCTACAAATCTGCAGACAGCAAAGAAGGCCACCCTCGGTCCATTTACAGAGATAGACAGCAGGCTTTTGGTCAAAAGACCATAATTGATGTTGCTTTTCTTCATAGTTTACACTGCAGTCTGTTTAAGGTTTCAGCACTAAAAGTCACTTGGTGAAAGGGATACTGTAGGGGGCAAAATTAAGGGATAAAAATAACCAGAGGCAGAGGCAAAGCTATGTAGACCACAGGGAAATCCCCTTATTGCCTCCAGCAAATCTGACCCTGGACATAATGGAGACTTTAAAGGAATATAATAGCTGGCCACGAAAACATAAGCGTTACCAATTCAGTTCCTAACAAAGTGTAAAATGTACTTGCTATCACGGCCCTCCAACCCCCCAGTTGTATTTTATTGAACAAATTCATGAAATCATAACAGAGTTGGATCTTTAAATGAGTGGTTATTTTATCCTCTTAGACTGAGTCCAAATGTACTTTTGTGTCAGAAGTTAAACATTTTCTCATTCCTGGAGAGGGAATGGGTATTCATGAGAACGTGAGGGGCAGCAACCCTGAGAGATAAAGTCCTTGGGCCACGTTCATGAGACGAAGCATCAAAAGTTAATGGCCCTCAGTGCTTTCTCAAGGAACTTCTGTGATAACTTCAAAGTCCCTTAACAAACAGAATTCAGGGTTTTTTAAGATTTTTCAGGTACATTCTGACTCCCTGATTTGCTTGTTCACGTCACTTCTTAAATGGAGACTACTTAATGTTTAAATACCTTTGTCCTCTTATAACAAATACTTTTATATACCAAGGAAATGAGAGTTTAGACTCTGTTTTATGGTGCAGGAAAGAATCCAGTTAGGAACATCCATCCAAAGCTTACCCAAAGTTGGTTCTGGCAAAGCAGGGCATCCTTTTCTCCAGCATTGTTTTCCAGTTCCTCCTGTTGGAATCCAGATGCCACAAGTCAAATTATATCAGTCAATCAACTAAGCTTTTGTATATACTACTAAGTGTTTCTGCAACTTTAATTTCTTCTGAGGTCCTCCCTCAGAGATAAGATATATATTCTTGGCAGGGACTCCTGCATCTACCAAAGGGTTTCCTCTGAGTTGGGAAAACCTCCAAGGGGAAGTGCTCAGGAGGCATCCTGATTAGATGCCTGAACCACCTCATCTGGTTTCTTTCGACACCAAGGAGCAGCAACCGCACTCCGAATTCCCCCTGGATGTCTGAGCTCCTCAGCCTATCTGTTTGACCCAAGCCACCCTATGGAGGAAACTAATTTTGGGTACTTGTATCTGCGATCTTTGTCGGTCACTTCCCAGAGCTCCTGGGCACAACTAAATGAAATTAAAAGCTTACTTTCTGGCTCCGCTCTCTCTTCACTACTGCTGGGGAATATGTTTGATCAACGAGGGCTCTCGTAAAGATAAATCTCTTTTTGCTCTTCAACAAACAACAATAATCAATAACCAAGCTGTAATTTCTTCTCCTTGATTCTGTTTGTTTCTCAAAGCTGACCTTTTCAAATCTCATGAAATCACTGGACAAAGCTGTCAGTTCTCTTTCCGTCCCTCCATCTCTCTCATTCTCCCTCTCGGCCTCGGGCGGATTTTAATCAAGAGTGTTTCCTGATAATGAAAACCTGCGATAACGACTCTTTTCTTGCTGCTGCTGATAAGCACCGCAAAGCCTGGATCATTGTTCTCCATTAATTAGCCTGTACCCTTGCCAGTATTTGATGGGTTGACGCCGACACAGCGGGAGAGCGACCCTGGAGTCATCTCACAAATGAGCAGAAAATTGTCTGATGTGTGAGGAACTGGCACCGACACAAATGTGACTGTACCTTCACAGAAACTGAACGCTGTTTCTGTCACTACTTTATGGATTTTGACGTTGTTTTTGATGTTTCCACACTATATACACTCCGTCCCCCCGAGCAGAACCAGAAGAAACACCAAACTGCAGTCCAACTTTTCCATTACACTTTAGTGAAATCACACAAATATACAAACTCAGCAGAAGGCAATGGCAATGATATAAAAACTGACACAGGCTATTACATGAAGATTCATCATCATCATCATCATTACATTTTAATTCAGCAAAAATGACAAATAAAAACAAGGCAATGGCAAATGGTCTCAAAAAATGGGCCCTGACTACATCCTGGAAAGCGCTGCATCAAGGCGACATGTATTTCTGCGTTTTTAGTTTTCAAACAGAACAAAAACTGTTTTTCCAGGCAGAGAGATGAACGGCAGCGCTGCAGAGCTGCTGGCGGCAGATCAGGAGGCTTCGATGGTGGGTTTCGTAGTTTCACACATTCTTTGTGTTGCATATGAAAAGAAGGTCGGCTGGTTATGAGAAAATGTAAAAACCTGCTGAAGAGATGTGTTTATATTATAGTATTTTGTGTGTTTTGTTACATTTGGTTTCATATCTTCTATTTTTCTGTTTTTATTCATTTATTCTGAAAATTGCATTGCAGGATTTTATCCCTGCATTTGAAATAATTCATCTCCTCACTTCAGTCAAGCTACAACCGAGACTGTGTGTGGATACTTTCAATACCATTTTCTTTGTGTTTGATGGGAAAACATTTCTAAAGGAAACTGGTCTGGAATGATTGACCAGAAGGTTTGTTGAGGCTGGAAATAATATAAACAGGTGATAAATGCTGATAAGGCAACATGATAAATCCTTTTGTTTGTTCTTTTAATTTTCACAACAAAGACGACATCAAACTATCCTTCTTACTACATTTTTTAGATTTCTCGCACTACAACTTGGATTTTGCTTTAAGCCACCTCCAAGCAGAAGCCCTCACTGGGTTTCATGAGCTCTACAGTTACTGACTGGGCAGTTATTTGGGTAATTTAGAAATGGAGACATTTTTAATGCGCTTAACATCGTGACAGGATTAAACCCAAACCATGATCCTATTCTAAACCTAACCACACAGTGGACCAAAACTGGAACTTCAAGCTATAAAAAACAGCAAACTAAGTGAGAAGATATTGCAATCGCAATTTCATTGGACAAATAGGTTTCCCTCAGCACACGACTGACATGGTGTTTAGTTGTACAGTAAAGGTAACTTTTAGGTGCCTCAATTAGCAGTTAATCTGAATGTTGTAAACATGTAAGAAATTAGCAGAAAAGTTCAGGATTGCTTGAAAGTTGTGACAGTTTGTGAAAATCTAAAAACATAACACATAAATACTGAAAGAAGCCTATCATTGGTTTTGCGACAGGTTATTTCCAGCCAAAACTGAAAAAAATGAGTATAATGGTGGAGGACAAAAATTATTAATTTGTTTGTGGCAGATGGTTAAAAGGGAATGTTTTTATTTTGTAAAAGTAAAATGTTTAAATCTTACATTTATGTGTAATTACTAATGAAATAATGTGATTTTTGGACTGTCACGCATGGTCACCTGTGTTTTTAGGTTATATATTTATTATATATCTAAAAAAGAGATATACATGACATCTACAGTCATGCTGACAGCCATGCCCTGTACAATAAACATCTTGCATTTTTGATTATATCTTTTTATAATTATCATGAGACAGCTGCTATTGAACTTCAAAAATTGCGGCTCTACCAAATTTTAGTCATAATAATATGTGGCATCCGGCCGTGATTCATAAACTAGATTCACCGTCAGCTTCCTAATAAATAATGACAGGGATTTATCAAAGTTTGCTTGGTGAAGCCTCATGATCCAACGCTCGCAGCACCCCAAACACCGCCTGAATGAACAATCAGATCCTGAACTAAGACACAAGATCCAGTGTGAGCGGCGCTTCTCGACTGGTGGTTCAGGGACCCAGACGAGGACTTTTGGACTGTGTGTTTAAAATCCAGGACTATATTCTGAAAGTGCTTATAGATAAAATTTATTTGAATGCTGTGGATCCTGATGGCACAGCAACCAAGAAGCCTCCGCTCAGAATATTAATAATAATTATAACTGTAGTAATAATAATCATATTATGGTACAATAAAGACATCTGACCCCCCGTTTGAGCTCAGAGGGGAGTCCAGTGATACGCTGTTGCTATGGTACAATGAAGCCCGCTGGGATCCGCTGTTGGCTCAACTCGTCTGTCAGTCACCCAACTGTCTGTCTGGAGTCTGCAGGGGTGGGAGGGGCCTAATGAGGTCGGGTCAGCCAGCTCCCATTGATTTCCAATGGGAGGTCAGTGCAAGTTTTCTGTAGGGAAACTCTCTGACCTACTTCTGCTGCTGATTACTGAACCTCCCGCAGATTATTAATGGCAGTTATACCATTGAGTTTAATCTCCCATTAGTATAAAATGGATTTTTTTCCCACAGGAAATCAATGAAAGCTTTACAATGTGACTTGCATCTTAAGATACCATTAATGATAAATTGTTGGTTGAGAGATTTCCCAGAAAGTTAAGAATTATGGTCAGATTCATCTAAATGATAAACAATACATAATATGAAAGTGGATTTGTTCTCCGTGGTCACCTGATTATTTCCAAAGAATCTGATAAATATGTCGAACTCTTCATTGGATATTGATTCCATTACAGATGGACGATAAACTCTTCATTAGGTTTGAAGGGGACATTTTTGTAGTTTCTAGCACTGATTTCAAATCCAATTCTTCGAAATAACACAATGGATGGAAATATAACAGAAAAATAGAAAAATCCATTTTTTAACCAATGGGGGATTAGTGTACAGTAAGAATACGATGAATGGAGCAACTAGTTTCAAATAAGAGATTCCTAAGAAAAAATACAAAATGATAAACATTAAATCAACTTGTTTATTTTCTGTCAGAAATAAGAATAACACCATTATACTAAATGTATTTTTGTCAATTGATCTTCAGTGGGAGAGCTCCATTTCCCTGCTGATGTCTTTCCCCAACCCCTTCTTTGCTTTTAAAACTCCTTAAGAACATCGTCTGGTAAGGAGTCGAACGATTCAACAACTCGTCAGACAGTTCGCCATGTGAGTGAAGTGAGTCTGATGGGCGATTCTGATCAATAAAATTGATCAGTCTCTCTGCCTCCTTCTTGGTTAATAACTCCAGGCTGAGAGGAAACAGACAGACGGATGGATTTGATGAATTGACTATGTGCACGATGGGAAATGACCGACTGAACCAGAACGATTTGTCACATTTCTCAATGTTTTTCGACACGTCCTGTTTCTGACTGCTCTTAAACTGGACATAAATGCAGGAAACAAGTAATGAGGTAAAAAATTAAAATGGCAAGAATGAATATGAAGTGTGACCAACAGTTCTGGCTGTTTCCCAGGCTGCACATGGACTGTTTTATGACCTGTTAAAGTGTGTGTGTATGTGTGTGTGTGTGTGTGCAATTAACGTCTGATGCTGTTGGGCTCTTCCTTCTGCTTTAACGCTGTACAAACTAATAAAACTGTCTACATCCTCCAACAATAAATATAACCCATTGTAAAAAATAAATTAAAAGAAAAATAATAAATATCTCACCACTGGAGAATGTTAAAAACGCTGAGTTGTGTGTGTGTGTGTGTGTGTGTGTGTGGATGGATGCACGTAAAACAGGGTGTAAATCAATCTGTTTTTTGTTTTGTTGTCACAGGAATTTAACTTCGCTCTCCTTCAGTCTCTGTTGCCTCCTCCCAGGTGCACGTGTGTGTTCAGAGGATGGACATGATGTTAAAATGTACACACACACATTCTTGCTACCACAGTGGAAACCCACCCAAGCATCGTTTTATCCCAGCTGAATTTAAACTTGATTGTAAAGGTTTTCTTTTCCTTTTCACTTTATTTGCTAGTATTCGTTGTATCGAAGTCTGTTGGCAGCTGACATCAGATGGAACCTCTCAGGAGTTTGTGAGATGCATTCAGTGCTGCACCAGGAAAGAGTGTCACTACATCTGACGAGCCCGAGCTTCATGGACGAAATGCTTCCATTACCATTCGTTGGTTTGCCCAACTAAAAGCAGGATTCAGGTATCAAAGAAAAGTGGAATATTGGCCTTGGTGCAAATGGAACATCTGGAAATAAAATCATGAGCTCAGTCTCATGGCAATGCATGATGTAAAATAAATCTGTTATTTTCGTTGCCACAATTTAAGGCTACCAATAGGAATTTTTAATCATAGCAACTCAGCTTAATATCTGCAATTAGCACGAGGATTGTTTTTTCTGGACAAACAACAAAGAAATACAAATTGGCGAACTACTCAACCACAAGAAAACTCCTTCTAGAAGCAAGTTGTGACAGCCATCTTGGAAACTCCTATAGGCAATTATGTTGAAGCCCCTAAATTAAACGTGGAGACAGTCCCACCATTAATTCCTATGACAGCATAAAAACTACATGCAGGGAACCACAACTTAAATCTGTAAAAACTGCTTTAAGTAGATCCAGCCTTTCTGCTACAGTAAGTAGTTATCATAGTTATCATAGTGTGGCTGTTGATAGGCTCATTGATCCGAAAGTGCCAGTCAACAGCTGATCTTTTCAGGACTTTTTGCAGGAGATTTCTTGTAATGTCTCTGCCACAAACCAGTCCTTGCCCAGACGAAAATGCAACATGTAATTAGCGTGCTACAAACTGCCAGCTCTTGACATGCTAGCTAGCCAATCGCTCATTTGTTTATCCACATGTAAGTATGATCAGCAGAGGGGGGCTGAGCTGCTGAGATGATGGTCTGGTCAGTTCTGGTAATTTGAGGGTATCTCACTAAACAGCATAAAACTAAAAAGCTATAATTTTAAAGTCACATCTTGTGCTGTTTAATGTTCATGCTAACATAAAAAAGCTACATTGGCACAAATACTAATAACAGATTCATGTTATGTAACTATTGCCATGACACTAGGAGTGCAGGTATAACAGAAACAGTCTTTAGTATTTGCCCCTGCACACCTTTAGTCATTCCTGCCCCTAAAACTTTTACCTTCCATCCTCTGATTTCTCTCTATAATGAATTTTACGTTCGCACGAGTAACTGAAATGAGCATGGAGCGTTTTTGCCTCCTCTTCTTCTCAGAGACCTTTCCTTCCCCAGTCGGTTTGATGGATGACGTTGCCTCCATCTTTTTTCGGCCTGATCAGTATTCTCCCTCTCTCCTCCCTCTCAGTATTCCGGCAGCATCTCCCTCCATCCTTCCTCCTCACACTTTAGCATGCAAAAAGAGAATCTGACCTCCCGCTTTCATCCTCAACCTCCCGTGTTACTCTAACATTTATTTCTCCTATTTACATTTGAAGGAATTCAGGTTTTCTTTTTCACCTTTTGGCACAAAAATACCCCTTCTCTCTGCAGTTCAACAGTAATTTCTCCTCTTCCTCACTTTTCAGCATGCAGAGGGAGTTTACTCCTGCCCTACAGTTTATATGCATCGCCCAGCACCTTTTTTTTCAGTATTCGCTGGTTTTCTTCTCTCCTCCACCTCATCGCATCAACAGAAAGGTGAAGCCTGATCAAACACGATGCGCTGAATTATATCCGATTTATCTGTTCTTGATGACTTTGAGTTTAAAGGGCGAGCTGAGATTTTCATTATTTTTTTTACAAAAAGACTGGAGATCTGATTTGAGATTTCAAATGCATCAAAGATACAGATCAGGTGATTTAAACGGTGCAACTACAAAGAAAAAGATTTTTAATTGAGCTGCAGATACGATCAGTGATTTAATGGCTGAGTTTCCACTGCAGCAGCAGCAGGAAAACACACACACACACACACATACAGGTTGGTGAACAGTGGTATTGGTATGGTAGTGGCTTCCCTCCCTGTTCTACAATTAATCATCTTAAAGGCAGTCTTTTATCAGGACCCTTTCCTCCTTTTCCTCAATCCTCCCTCCCTCACTCAGGTCCTTTTGGCCCCAAAGATTCAAACGACAGTGAAACATCAGCAAGAAAGAAAAAACAAAAGGTGCTTGGTTGCTCTATGGCATTGCAAAGAGCCAAAAGACAGATGCTTCATGGTGGAAGAACATTTTCACGCAAAAAAACTGGCTTTAAGTTTTGACAACCCCGTTGAGTTTTTTTTCACAGCTTGGTAAAACCATTGATGTTTCAGGTTTTCTGTGGTTTGCATATAGGACTAACCTGCAGGTTACTAACCTGGACACCATCTTACGCTAAAGATATGCTTTCTGGGTTATTTCTCATTCTCAATTTAAATCTACAAACACCATGTGTGTGTACAACTTTTTTTTACCTATTAGTTTTCCTCTTGTGTATAAAAATGGTCTACACTTTACGGTCTACATTCAGTCAAACCTCTCATCAAACATTTTTTTTATACATTAACATTAATGACATTTTCTGGCAATCAGCTGTAAGTTGGCAGAAATTTGCAAGAACTTTTCTGGTTTTTGAACTATATTTAAACACACCAAAAAAGTTGGGGACCTAAAATCTTGTTCCTGTTAGAAGCTTAAACGTGAAAGGCCCTGAAGCAGTTTGCATCTTATTTAAAAGGGGAAAGCAAAAAAATACATACCAGTCTTCCACTGGCACACATTTACACAACATTAGTTTTGACTGACCAGTTCTGGTGCAAGTTGTTTGCTGGATGCCATATAGTTCGACAGAACTAGAAGATTAAAATCTGCCTCAAATCATTGTTGAGTAGAGGTTAGTTTGTGTTTTTAGTTTTCAAAAGGCCAAATACCTATGCAATCAAACTACATCCCAAACTGACCTTTGGGCAATATATACAAGCCAGTTTCATGATGTGAAAATGTTCTACCACACAGGTGGGACTGGGAGGTTGAAGGGTGCATTGTTGCCATGTTGGAAAGGCCGACGTTCACACAGAGCTTTTCTGAGTTGCAGTAGTTCCAAACTTCTTCATGAGCATAATTTTTACTTGTAAGGTTTAAGAACTTAGGTGTGTGAAAGCCCTGGATGAAGCAACAAAAGCTCAGACTCCATCTGAAGCGCTGCCTATAACGCTACCCAAACCTTCAGGACAAACCTCCATCCAATGCCGCTCTGGAAATCTGTTCAAACAAACAACCAGTTTGGCAAATAAAAGCACCAAAAAGTTCAGTTTGTTTCCTCATCTTCCACATACAGAGCTTCTAACACAACAGACTCCAGTTGAATCCAGTTTGGTTGGGTCTGGGCCTGATCCGATGGTGAGGGGACGGTCTTGGTTTGGCTTGAACCGTCGCTCTGCCTCCTGGCTCTTGCTCTTCCTCCAGATTCTGATGTAGCATAACGTTCAGTATACAAGTTCAGCTCTTTAAAATCCATACCGTCAAATCCACAAAGTTCTTATTACATGTTAACATTTCAATATTTTTTTCCTTTCTTTTGTATTCTTTTTTTTATACTTTGTCATCATTATTATCTTTCTTTTTTTTGTTGTTTACAATTATGGCCACAAGTCTTAAGAGTTCTTGAGTCCGGTCCGGCTAAAATTCTATTCCGGGTTGTTTTCAGTCCGGATTTGGTCCAAGTCCGGTCCAGTTCTGATGTGATCCGGTCCGGTCTTTACATGGCACTGGGCTTGTAGCTCTGCACAGTATTTCCCCCTGGGCATGTTTAGCATGGTGCTGTAAAGCATGGCTGTATATGTATGTGCAAGGTCTGTCGATAAAGCGCTGCACCAATAAACGTCAAAGTTTGTATCCAGGACCCCAGCGTCTAGGTTCTTGTGGGCCTGAAAAATGCCTGTTACTCCACTTTTGGAGATTTTTTCTGTTGAAAAATTCTACAGTCAACCTACTTATTTACAGACCTTGCCTGTGTGCCTGTGCTGGAATGTATTCAAAACGTAATGCTATATTCGTTTATATTCACTTCTAGTAAATTATTCACAATTCTGGCGAATTCCACAGTCTTGATTGGTCGGGCAGTACATTACTAAAGAGTCTTCTTGGCCAGTAGGATGGCCAGAGGCCAGCATGACTGACCAATGATGGAGGGTCGAGGGTCAAGGATGAGCAGGAATCAAAGGTGGGGAGAAAGAGCGAAGAAGGAAAGAAAAGGAAGGTAGAGAAGGAATAGGACGAGGAAAATTAGGAGGTAAACTTCTGATGGACTGTGAAGAAAAGAGGGAGGACGGGATACGGTTATGGACACAGGTACTGGTCTGTCAGTAGGCATCGGGCTCAGTGTGCTGTGGTATAGAGTGATTGTCCAGAGAATCGAGTGGTTATTTAAACAGCAACTTAGAAACATTTAGATCCTGACGAGGCTTGGCCGAACAAGTCCAAGGTCAAGTTATATCATCTCGCTTCAGAGTCCTTATTACTCTATGTCCAAATCCTCTTAGCATCCAGTGATTTCAAGTTAAGGTCAAGCCATCGGTTTATTGGACATTTAGTTTATTTGCTTTCGTCTTCTTCATTAAAGCTTAAAACAACCAACTGAATCCAAAAAAGTCCACGGTAGGGTCAGATATTCCAAATCGGTGACTTGACTTTGTCGCTTCCAGCCTCAAGTTCTGACCTGACTTCCTTACAGTGGATTCTTCCAGACAATGCTAAGGGTATGGTTGAGGATAAGTGGTCCAAAGTTACGACATCAGTAAAGAGGCTTTGAACCTCTGTAGTAGGCCTTGACTTAGCCCTGGACTTGTTCAGATTATGATGAGGCTCTTAAAGTTCAATCCAGCCTGTTGTGTTTTTCCTGTGACTGTCTGACCATAGGCGTAGTTTCTTGATCCTTCAGACAGAACAAGCTTTTCAAAGTGTAGTCTGTAGCTTTCATGGAAACTTGATCCGACCTTTCAACCAAGCACCTGTTAAGTTCCGAAGCAAGCTGAAGTCAGGTCACTTTGTTCTCACGTCACATCCACTGTTCGGAGAAACGTGACACAGTCTTTAGCCCACAGCTACATCCCCTTTGTTTGATCCCTGCTTGCAGTAAAATCAAATCCAAACCGACAGATGCATCTAGAAGGGTTATTTTTTGCCCCCAAATGACTCAAAGTTCCATAGTAAATGTATCCGCATCGGTTTGGAAATCAATTTTCCACCCCAAAAATCCACCAAATGGAGGTAGTTGGGGTCCCACCCAGCCAGTCGATCTTCAAGTCAATCAATCCATCAACTGACAAATAAATTACTGATAGATTGATTGCTAATGCAACTGGAGCTGCGGCTGTCAGTTCGGTCCAACACGGAGCAGTTCGGCTGACTGTTTAAACAGTTCAGAAAAACCAAATGCCCTCATTTCCCCCTCCCCCATTCATCTTCCCACGCCCCCCCCCCAATCCATCAATCCATCAGTCCATTCATCCTTCCACTTCTCTCAGCTGCTTCCAGACATCAGATTGATGGCTTGCTCCAGTTTGTGCCTCAGTTTGTGTTTGCGACAGTACCCATCCCGGTCCAGTGCTGTTAGGATCTGCACATGCGGGAAAAACAGAAGAAATGATATCAGCTAAGGGTATTGCTTCATGTCCCTGATATAAACAAACTTGTTCGTGCATCAGTGAAAATGTTATTTTGATAGAGGTGCTACGAGTGGTTCAGAGGATGTGGGAAAGGATCGTCTTGCTCAAGGTCAGGGTTGGATGACTAGCTGATTTATTATTTTACTGCCATGTAAGGTAAGTTGATGAGGCAAGTCTTAAGGGGAACCAAAGAACTGGAAGGTCGTGTTAGTTGCTTTTACAACATCAATCATGTAGCGAATGCCAATGTCAAACCTCAAAGTTACTAACTCACTCACCTCTTCCTTGTACTTGTTGATGTAGAAGTAGAGCTCGCTGAGTGCACTCAGTGTGTTGAACTCATTTCCGTGGAGTCGGGACTGCTCCACCAGGTATGCGTCCATGTCCTGATCGCTGATGCTAGGCATCTTGGCTATATCCCTGTAATACCTGAAGGACACAGACAAAGTTAGCTGTGGTGACTAACTTCAGACTTTAACTGCATCAGCAAGTTAATGTGTAGCTTTTGGGTTAATTTACCAGGATAATTACCCAAGTCGCCAGCTCTAATGGTGTAATATTTTTACATTTTGCATGAGCAGGCCTTATTAATCATCAGCACTAATTAATGTGATTATGACCCCATACTATTATTCTAATAAGGCAAGAGTCTCAGTCTCTGCAAGCCTTTCTTTCTTTCTTTCTTTCTGCAGTTCTGCTCTTCAGAATGTAAATTAAGCTGTAGTAGCTACTTTAACATATTAATTCTGACAGGTTATATTGATCAGTCACTTTCTTCAGGGCATCAGCTAATATTAGCAGGTTAGTTAACTGGTTATTTACACCTAAACCCAGCTCACTCATTTATTTTTCTTAAATATATAAATTAATTAGCATGTTAGATACTTGCTTTACACAGGACGTATTAGTTAATAAATTAGCGTGCTATCTACCTTTCCACCCAGCTCTTGTAGTTGGGGATGTCCTTCGCGTAGAGCAGTTTGTTGGATGGAGAGTCTTTGCCGAGCCGATGTTCAGACGTCGAGCAGGAATCCATGAAGGTCTGAGCGACGACTGACAAGCAAGCATCGGTGATGCTGCTCTTGTGGATGTCGAACACAAACTGAGGATTCTTAATAACATTCACCCAGAACCTGAGAGGAAGGCTGCAAGAACAGAGAAAAGAGATGTTTTTAAAAAAAACATTTAAACAGCTGTGACTTTATCTTATAATTTCTTTAAAATCCACATTCTTGAGCAACTTTCTCTCACCAGTTGCTCTTCCAGGTGTGTCGGACGTCTGGGTCAGTTATCTGTCGTTTGTCGGCCTGCTCGTCTAAGAAGTCGAACATGTATTTTATGGCCAATGGGAGTGCAGAGCCACGATGGGCGGTGCTAAACACAGTCTCAAACAGGTCATCCACAAACTTCTGCAGCGTCCCCTGTTGGTGCGAGGACCAAAACAAAGGTTTAAATATTTAAAAATTAGATAATAGAGAAAAAGATCATTAACCAGAAACATTGGACAAATTCAGAAGGTTAAAATTAACATTTTACCTATTTTGCTTAAACTAGATTATAATATACAAAATGTACATCTTCTGAAACTACAGTCTCTGCATACAATGAAGATGATTATTACAGCCATACTTTAAGGCATTACTGTAACTTTAATCTTAAGCCCCACACTGACATCTGTTAAGGTTTGTGCTGTTTTGTTTGAGGTACCTTGGTTGCTAGAAGTCTGGTCAGGTAGATTTCAGAAACCATCTTGCTGCCACGGTCTCCTTCTCTCTGGTCGCTGTGCTCATGATTTTTCACCAGGTGCCACAGTTTAGTTCCTTGAAAGACACAAAGGCTCGATTACCAATCCCAGTTTTCCAGAAGCCACAGAAGTCTCAGTTTTACTCCTTTCTTTGGTTAATTATCAATTTATTTGAAGCAATTACCTGCAAATTTGCCAAAAACTGACATCACTCTGTAGGTACCCTGTGTCAAACTTTATTTCAGGTGTTATTCATTAACTATAGAACTCCAATATTATCATTTTTGGTATCTAGATAATATAATTTCCTTTTTCTTGGCAGAGTTTTTGTCTGAGATAGACAAAACGTCCAAGTATATCAAAGATCATGACTGTGCTGTCACAGAAGTTAAATGTAATGCTGTCTCAACACAAGCAATGAATCCTGTTCATCTTTCACAGCATCTTTGAAACAAACTTAAAGGTCTAACACATGAAAACACCACAGATGTATCCTAATGTAAAGAAAGTTACTATATCTGAGTATATCTGCTGCCATATTACCTGTTTCCTGGTCTGGGGTGATCATTGGAGCTCTGGATCTCAGGCTGTCGGGACTGCTGGATGTTCTCAGTAAAGACTCTGATGGCACAAACAGAGAGAAAGATGGTCCTGATTAGTCATCTGGTTAGAAAAGAAGAGGCTGAACGCTGATTTTGTGAGTCAACACTGTGCTTTAATGGTGAGAACTGAACAACAACATCTGGCCTGGATATAAACTAAACTTTCACTGTTTTCCACACAGCTGCTATAGCTATAAAGGTAAACAGTCATTGTGCATAACTTCCAACAAACCACATCTGTATAACTTGTAACACCCTCAAAAGTACATCTGTGTAAAATTTATTTTCACCAACAGAATGTAAACGCTGTAATCTTGCAAGTGTTATGGATTAAATCAATCTCAGATTATTATTATTTCTGACTGCTGTGTTCCCCTTTAATTCGTCTGTAGCGTCTCAGTGAGTTGTGCTAACTTTTACTTTCCACCTCCAAAGTTATTGTGACTCTCAGACGTGTTAAATACATTTATTTCCTCTTCACGTTAACTAGCTGTGGGCAGACACTGAAGGTAGCAAGCTGAGAAGACATGAGAACAAAAAATTCATTTTGATGAGTGAATATCGTGTTAGATTTTCTCTGTCACTTCACTGTCGGTCCAATCCTCTGTGTTTGCTTCCAGTTTTGGAGCCAACTGTTTCCTAAAAACATGTTTGAAGATGGTGATTGATGGTGTTGCCACACTGTCTAAATCAATCACCGTATACTCATATCAAAAGACTAAAGACTAAAAACGCCGTTCTTCTAACTTTGATAGTTGCTAGTTCCTGCTGTGCTCAAACACAAAAGAGAGAGACTTCCTGTAGAGGTTGGGTTGTCCGTACAGGTTACCAGTAATCCAGATCATGGTACGAATTTAAAAACCAGAAGAAGGAGGAAGCATAAAGCATTCTTTAAGTTTGTGAAGACGTTTCAAACCCTCATTACTTTGATTTATAAGCAAATTGAATGGATGCACTGAGCTGCTTTTAGAGCCAGCAGTCCACCACAGTGTTAATACTGTGGCGGATTCAGTCCAAGCGGGCGATGCCATTGGCAGTCATGATAACCTTGAAACTTGAAGGACTCCAGGCTACCTCAGGTTTGTTAAAAACAGATATGCTGGCATTTCTGCAGCGTGTACAGGCAGTACAGCAAATGTTAAATTGCAGTTAAAAAAATGTTTGGACTGTTGCTAAATTAAACTTTCCTCCATTTCTTGAAATATGTGCAATGTGGTAGAGAATGAAAAGTTTGCATGACCTATGAGGAGGTAATAGAAACGGGAAATACAGTCAGGTGAAATAAACCAGAATGATGCATTTGATATATGAAAAGTCTGGAAACCATTAACCCTGCCAATAAAACACGATGCAGAACTGGCCAGCAAGAAAACCTAATAACTGTGTGTGTGTGTGTGTGTGTGTGTGTG